CTTAATCCTAAGTTCCTATTATTTGCGAAGACGCTCCGAATCGATAATTACTATGAACGATTATCGACTCTAACTCCAAAACACCAGGACTTGCAATAAGAAATTGTATTGTTTGGCAATTGAAATCGATATTGATACAAAGTCGTCTGTAAACAAATGTTTTACAAGGAATGTATTGTACTTTTATTCGTATTCTTTCGTCTTCTTCCAACTTGTACACGATGGAATCACTCGCGCCTTGGAGTTGTCCGCCAATGGCTACCAGTTCCAATAAACAAATGTTTACAGATGTTGTTTGTCATTGTGTTGGGAGGAGTGGGTGGAGTTGTTAGTATCTCGCCTAACCTTCCCAGTTTTTCGAGTTTACTACCTGCTAGTTAGGTGGACGTTTCTTTAGGGTGTATCGGTAAGGAAAAGAATCCCAAACCTCCCTGAAGTTGGTGGCAACTGTTCTACCAATGAACATCTTGTCCATAGCATAATGCTTATGTATTAATGTACATCGAGATTAATATCTCCAAATCCTTATTTATGTGTAATTCTATGGTGTATTTAAATGTGCTCACAACAAACAGCAGTAGTCACACCCTTTGAGTTATAAATATTTTGTTTATTCTCTTTTATCTTCATGGATGAGTACTGTTGAAGAGTTCCAAACAAGGACGAAGCGACTTTTCTGTACTCCCTGACTGAGTTAGTCGTTCAGTGATAGAATATTTGCCAACCACGCACCTTAAGTGGTCCATGTCAGATTCCCGGGTGACACATTCCTAAACCTCGTCGCTTAGCTGGTGGTAAGCCCTGGAAAAAGGGGGATGTTCTGACGTGAAGTTAACACAACCCTATTCCATAAGAACGAATATTGCTACCGAAAATTCAAAGCAAAGGAATGAAGAAACCATGTATGATATATATAATGAGGTAAATTTATCAATCACGTGACCATGTTTTCAGTGTTTATTGAGTTCTCTGAGCTAAACAGTTTAGTTGCAGAGCTTTCATCGTCCTTCCAGACAACATCTTCAGCGTTTCCTTTATATTGAAGTGAGTTATTGTATTCCTTCATGAACATAATAACAGCTGAAGCAATAGGAATCCACCTGAAGAACAAGCCAAACATCTGTGTGTGTGTGTGTTCAGAAGAAATTTGTACAGCCACTTTCCTAACCTTGGAGGCCATCATCGTTACATGAATGTATAAACCGAACTACTACTTCACCTCCCCCTCCCCATAAACCCTTAAAAATTATAACTGTCCAAATTATTTTATTTTTTTTCTGACTACTTCATCTTCAATTACATTTTATCCTTGCAAAATTACTTTATTCTTATGACCGCTTGAGCCTGAATTACAAGTTATCATTATCCAAATCGTTTTATTTCCTTTAACATTCTGTTACGCAATCAACCTGAGTGCACGCTTATTTCTTAATTACTCTTCATTCTTCCAAAACTGTGCATTATGTAATCCAGGTGCTGTAATCATTTCTATAGTTTGGTTTGTAAGGGTTAGTTATATTTTTACGAGTTGATCACGGATTGATATCAGTTAGAGAACCATTGAAAACCAGCAGAGGGAGTACTGGACAGCTGCTGTTTCATCCTAGTTTGGGAATCATCGGCAGTACGCACCCACTGGGATTCGAATCCTTACAAACCAAACTATAGAAAATTAATCTGATGCTCGCTAGTGAGTGACTTCCTACAGGACAGTTTCCTGGAGTTCTAGTGAGAAGTCGTGACCAGTGAGGTCCGTCCAGATGTCACATGTGAGGATGGATGTCCCACCTACGAAATTAGTTGGGGTAGCGCTAAATCACGAATTGGTAGAAGTTAGAATTCATGGACGAACGGTTGGATCGGGTCCCAGTGGCTGAATGGTATACGAACTCACTGGCCTTGTAACCGGAAGGTCCTGAGTTCGAATCTCAGTGGGTTCGTACTGCCGATGATTCCCAGTACTCCCTCTGCTGGTTTTCAATGGTTCTCTAACTGATATCAATCCGTGATCAACTCGTAATATTATTATTGTTGTTCCCTTGGGTTCCTATTGGAACATAAGGCTTCAACGGCACACCTCCACTTGCTTCTGTCTTCTGCTGTACTTTTCACCTGCATCCATGTTAGTCCATACTATTTCAACTCTTCTTCACACGATCTCCTCCATGTCAGCCTTGCACCGACCAACCACTCGTCGCTTCCCTTTCGGGTTCCACTCGAGCGTTGGCCTGACGCGCGATGTCACCCAGCGGCCTCCTCAGCGAGTGTCCAATCCATCTCCACTTTCTACTGCATATTTCTTGAGCGATTGGTTCTTGTTTGTTTTGCTTGTTCCCATAGTTTCTTGTTGGTGATTCTTCCCGGCGATCTCATCTTCAGTATAGAGCGACGAAGATAGCTTTTGATAAAGGTCTGCGACTTGTTGGAAATATTCTTTGTGACCCTCCAAGTTTCTGATCCGTATAGAAGAACTGACTGACTCGACGTTTGTATTGAAAATCCGAATTTTGGTTGTTGATGATGAGTGATGAAGATTTCCAGATTGGTTCCAGGTTGATGAATGTGTTTCTCGCCTTCCCGATTCTCGATTTGACATCCTTGTCCGTTCCTCCTGTAGTTGAGACAATTCTCCCAAGATAAGTGAATGAAGTAACCTCTCGTAACGTAACCTTTTAATTGTGTGTATTGATTTTCTTCGTTAATTATCAACCCATTGATATTTTGACACTGTTTTATTATTGTTAACAAACATATCAGTGCCACTTGGTGATTGATTAATTGTTGTGTATTGTAATAAAAATGCTATGGATATATCTTAGAGTAGGGCTACAGTAAGATGAGGATCTAATTGAAAAGGAAATATTTCTTCGTTCGATCCTTCCGCTTTCTAAATGTCTAACTGGGGATTTTTGTTTTCTATATTGAAACATGATAACTGTCAATCTTACTAACCTTGACAGTGACGGATTATTTTTAGACCTCTAGAAACTTAGTACTCGAATTAATCTGAACTTCACTCACATCTTGACATCGATAAAATTTATCAATGAATAAAGAACAAGTTATATAGTGATAAAAGTAAATACTAGATCAGCGGAACGACTAAGAATCAGTACAAGTGAACTATATGATGTGAAAAGTAATTACGGTCAAAGCCATGCGGAATGATGGTTGTTTCATCCATGGAGAATTTGAACAGCTTGTTCCATTGTGAAGTCGGCTAACTGACTGACTGACTGACTGATTGAGTTTTAACAAAGAACTTAGCACAGAAGTGCAACAGTCCAAGTCCAAGTGGCTATGCTCAGTGTAGCACCCAGAAGTAAAGAAAAGAGAGAGAGGGTTTCATGGATTTGTGACATCACAAAGAGTGAAGGAATCTGAGTCATTGACAACGATTTTAAGCCATATCACTAACATTTAATTGAATTTTAAATTTTCCCGTCGACTGATTGGACCGAAGTGCTCGGTCTCAGGTTGACATGTCGGGGAAATCTAAAATTCAATTAAATCAATATGACCCGTTGCACAAGAGGTGGCTCTCGTGGCCCAAGTGGTCTAGGGGATAACGCCTTGGCGTTTGAAACTATGGATACTGGGTTTGGGCCTCGGTGGTAACATCATCACTGAATCACTGAGAAATGCAGGTACATCCAGATGAAGAGTCCCAAATAGGGCGAAATGCGCATCCTGGATTCCACTGCTAGTCACCATCCACCAATTAAATACATATCACTAACAGTCTTAAACTATTGGGTCTTCGCATCCCGATGACCGCTACATGGATCAAACCAGCAATCAAATTTCATGGATTGATGATACCTGGTTTTGGTTTGACCACTCCTTCTCACTCTTTTCCAACACAACACTCTATGTCAGTTAACATTACCTGAAGAGGAAGGCAATCGCTGTATACGCTCAACACGCGTCCTAGCCATCCCCCTAGCCATCGATGTAGCTTCATACCCACACGCATACACTGAATTGCTTTCCTTACCTAGTCATCCAAAGCCAACTTCAATAATACTAATTATATTATTATTATCCCATTTCACATAGGAGATATAACGCAAACATGTATGGTCAAACACAGCTAGCCGCCCCACTTCATATTTTCCACTTTCAATGTTCATGTCTTGCAATCATGAATGAGGACACAGAGAACTTCCAGCGTACTGCAAACATGTAGAAACACAGTGAAAGTTTCATAATTAAACCATCTAGCTAAGAGAATGTAAATTACACCACAAATATGAACACTATGCTTACAAGTGTGTTAGACGCGCTTTTCGATTAGCACGCTACATTTACTCAGTTACATAAAACTCTTGTGTTCTGTGGAATTTCTTGCCAAAAAAAAGTTGTGGAACTTATGGGCAATTATTTGCCTTTCGAACACTGAATCTGGGGATATAATCTTGTTGACCGATAATACCTATAACTATCTGCTAGCCATTGTGTGACTTTCTATAGACACTAACTAATATCTATAATTGTATACATATATTGATGGATTTACATATCTAAGTTGACTCAAGTCAATGAGTCTATGATTTTGGTATCATTTTTGTTAACTGTATCTGACTGTGATACTACTGCTAAGGTTATTTTTATTTTTATTGTTGTTGTCACTTGTTGCCCTTTCTGTTGTGAATTATTTTCCTTTTTCCTAGTGTTGTCCTGATTGCTTTATTCCTTGTTTTTTCTGATTTTAAGGGGAGCAACTCACAAGGTCGCTTCTCTGTAAACTAACTATATTTTAATGTAACAACCCTCCCCTTCTCAGCCGTGAGGCTAGCATGAGGCAACCCCACCCCTGTAAACAAAGTCGCTACAGAAACTTCAACACGATGAATCTCCTTGCGCCAAAAGAAAAAGTCTGTGTGGGGGGTACATGGAACGTCCGCACCATGTACGAGATCGGCTAAACGACTGAAGCCCTATGTTCCTCTAGGAATTAAAGGAAATAACAGTAATGATAATAATAACGATTGACTTACTTCTAATGAGAAAGCTGAGATACAACTATTATATTCAGAAAATGGTGGATTAGATAATACACTTTTCATCATGGTTATATTCCCATTGAAATCTGTTGAATCTATGCCCTGTATATTCTTTATTGATTGATTGAGAATTGAGGAGCATGGTGTATCATTGGATGATTGTTTCTGTTGTTGGCGGTGATGGTGGTGGTGTTGTTCCTGTTGTTGCTGATTAGTGGTGGATTGTCCTCGATGTGGCTGATGAGGAGGTAGATGTCTGTCAGTGTTACTATTATCATCTTCATCACCGTCCTCATCGCCGTCGCCATTTCCGACGTCGCCAACATTGTCAACATCAAAATCACCATCGCCCGCAGCATCATCGTTATTATCAGTGCCACATTGATGAGTTTTAGTCAGCCGTTGTTCTTGTTGGTGTTGTTGTTGTTGTTCACTAACTTCAATTTGTTCCGAAGGAGAAGAGGGGGAGGGGGAGGACGAGGAGGACGAGGAGGATGAAGCTGAGGAAATCATTTTGGTGTCGTCTGGATCCCCCTCGAAATCATTCATCTCAGCTGCTTGATCACCATGATTATTATTGCTATTGTTATTATTAGTAGTAGTAGCATTAACATTTCCATTGGTCGTGGTGACATGGCTATCAAAATTTGGTAATTCTATCCATAGACAACCACATACTGGACATTGAGGCAAATCACCATCACTTTGAATTTCTTCTAACCCTTTTATATGTATAATGAAAAAAAATAAAAAAATAAAATTTTTAAAAAGAAATTAGAAAAAGTCGACAAAATGAAATGAAATATATATTTTTTCTTTTTTATGATGAATAACAATAATGTGGTGGTGTGTGCTACTGATAAGATTTATCAGTAGTATATGCATAAAGAGGCGTTCATCGGCATAAAATCATCGAACGATAGAGAGACAGACAGATGCGATGTCAGAGAAAGCAAATGAAACAGCGTCGCGGAGATACATGGGAGACATGAAAGGAATACAAAGAGACGCAAAATGATGAAGGAAGGCTATAAGTAGCAGGTACAACATGGAACATCTGTGCAGCAAATGAAGATTTTCAGATAAGGTGTATGTAGTTCGGCTATATAAAGACACCATATCCCACCCATATAAACATTCCTTTACCAAGTTTCTTTTCTTCTATTGTTACACTGTGGTGTGGTGAGAGCTGTCTGCTAGCCAAAATTCGTAGACAGCAATTTACGTCAATGTTTACGTCCCAAATCTTAGTCATGAGAAAAAAAAGTTAGAACAAAGACTAACTCAACAATCACAACAGCAGACTTTGCGTAGGCGGATACGATTCGCAGATATATGGTCTGACCTTGAAAGAAACGGCCACAGAGAGATGACAGAATAACCTTCAGCAGAAAAATAACCAATCAGATGACGCTGTTTCTCTGCTAATAATAACGAATATTAATGTTTATAAGAATCTATAAATATCTCTTGATTTCCTCAAATAACGATCTCTTTCCTGGCCCTTGTCTTCTGTCGTTAAAACACTAGTAGGTAGTAGAATGACTCTTCTTTGAATATTCTATTGTCTAGTAGTCAATAACTTTTGTGAATCGGTACTATATCTAGATCTAGTTCAACTTAATTTTTATCTGAATGCAGAATATTCTTTTCAACACATCCTTCTCTTCAGGTTCTTACAATTATAAAACAATTATAATATTTCTTGTCGCCCTTCTTCAGCCGTCCAATGTTCGCCCAGCAACTCAAAGATGTCTTACCTAACCTTAGCTCTTCTTCATGTATATAACATTTCAACTTTTCTTGTGGTTCAAGATATATAGGCCGCACGATTACGCAGGTTCGTCTACGGGTTCGAGAACATTTACCAGGTTGGCTCAGCAGGGGGGGGGGCAAATCATGTGCATAAAAAGCTCGATCCTGTCATAATTGGTCGATGCTGGATATATCATGGATGTCAGCATAGCTTTCAGGATTATATACCGAATTCCGAAGTCGTTATCACGTACAGTTCGCTTACGTCTCCTACACATAGCTGAAACTGTCGCAAAAGGATCGACTATACTGCGACTTTGTATCCAAAAAGAACACGTCCAGACGCTGTTCCTACCATGGCCAAACTTGGATTGATGATTCTTCTTCTCACCAAGAGTGCTTCTCTCCTTTACCGTCTTGGTTTCTTTTCTCTTTGCTCATTATTACAATTATTATTATTATTCGTCATAATTTATGCCCTTCATGTAAACATTCTCTCAACACTACCGAATTTTCCATTTATAATATCCAGACTCATTATTAGTGATATTATCTCTTTTCTCAATATATGCCTCCACATGTTTCATTTCACACATTCGTTATTTCATTATGAACCACCTATCATTGCAGTCTTACTATCTATCTCCTCTTTAATACATACCACTTTGTACTAGCCACTCCACTACACTCACCTGACACCTTTTATAACCTTGAACTGACTTGTCAATTTTCCTAACCCACACTCTACAAATCTCTTATAACGACTAATCACCACCATTGTCTCCCATTTCACCGAAATATTTTGTAATCGATTTCAGTTAGCCTAGCACGACGTTTGTCACACAAATACGACTATATATTTCGACACCCCATAACTACTAATCTGTTATTCTACGTTACAAATGTATGCGCGGTACAACTGGCCATTATGATTGTAACGACAACAAACATCATAATTGTTTTATAATTGTAAGAACCTGAAGAGAAGGATATCTTGAAAAGAATTTTCTTCGTTCAGATTGACTTTTAATTCATAATATGGGAATATTTCACACTATTCAATCCCAATTTTTATCGCTTCTTTTCATTCCTTTGCGTTCCAAGCGGCATATTAGGCTTTAATCCTTGAAGTTTCAGTGGCAATTGCACTTTTACAGGGTGAGGTTGCCATTCTGAAACACCGAAACTCTTTCTCCCTTTTACCGGGTTTTATGCCAAGTTTGTAAACGATTCAGCCATGGCCAGCTCGTGAGTTTTAAATTCAACCAATTTTAGTGCAACCACGCTAGCCAGTATCATTGCTGGTGAGTATTTGCTCTCGCTCCCGACCTAGTGGACTACACTAGTCACCACTTCTCACTAGAACTCATTTTTTACACGAAAGTGTGTGGAGGGGTTCGAACAGAGGATCTTTCAGTTACAAGGCGAGTTCGGGGACCGGTAGGCCACTGGGACCGGATTATCCTGGGAATATCCTAGGTTTGAACTCCCTGTGGTGGGTGCATACTGATAGTTTTTCAATGAGGTGTCCTCTAACTGATATCAACTCATCATGATGAAATCTTGAAGGCAATTAAATCCCTGCAAACCAACAACAACTGAATAAAAAACACAAAATATTTGAGCCAGCAAAGAATATCCTTTTCGATAACTTCCTCTTCTGGCTCTACAATTACATACATAGATATGTTTATATACATAGAATATTCTAGAATAGTAGTCAATAACAATATTGGTGTGTTTTTTAAATACTATCGATTTGTAAGGTTAGATCACAGTGGAATCACCACAGTTCATTAAAGATGCTTAAATTATAATAATAACAAACAAAGATATAGTAGCAAACAGAATATCAACTAAAATTAAGGAAATTTCTACAAAAATTGAGGATCATTCAAACGTAGATGGCCAAGGTAAGGACAGGGTCTGAACTAACTTCTTATGAACACATAAATCAGGCTTCTTAATGTTGATCACAACAGCCTCAGCAATATTTGGTAGTCGAACTCCTAAGGCGAAATTAAGATTTTTTGGCATGCGGTAAATGACTCTGAAAGGATGGTTACTGTCAATCTTTTGTTCTGTCTCCACAAGATGAGATAGGATAGCTCTGCAAATAGATTTTGTTTGTCCTTTGCTTAACCACTATTCAGGGTGATGTTCGGAAATTCGACGAGAAACACGCCTAATTGTACGGCCTATGTAACTGGCTCACTCCACAGAAGCAGTTAAATTAGTAGATACACATGGAAGAGGAGAAATTAGGCAGTTTGTCTTTTACTCCTGAACGCAAAAGAGGAGTAAAATCTATGTCATCACCGGCAAGTACTTGTCCCTCACATCCAACCTGCTGTACCCCATTTTCATAGCACTAACCTCAACCAAATATGTTCACAATGAGCGCTGACTTTAACTTAACAGTGTTGACAGAATCTACATTGAAATTGATCCAAATTGCCTAATAAAAGCCTGAAATCTATTTTTTTGTTTTCAAATCATGATCAGATATACAGGAAGAGAGGAAAATGTAAAACAAAAGTCATAAATATAAAATTAAGGAGGAAAAAAAATCAATAATTTATAAAAAGAAAATAAGTGTAATGAGGGAAAGTAATTCTGTCATGTAAGGAGAACGGCGCCATCGTCATAGTCAAGACCACTTACACTATATAATTCTGAGAAAATATGAATAATACCACTCTCCCTCTCTCTCTCTCTCTGTCTGTCTATTTACATTTATGAACGTGTGTAACACCACAAAAAGGCAGAATAAATCTCTACCTGAAAGATTTTCTCACTCTTTCATCATGTCTCTCCTCTTTATTAGACAAAAAGGCGAAAACAAACAACAACAAGTTGGCTAATAATGGTCACTGTTATTGACAAGAATGAGGGGTGGTGGTGTGGAAGTGGGTGAGTGAGTCACTAAGTAGGTGTGTGTGTGTGTGTGTGCGAGTGACTGAATGTATCCAAACCGCAAATTCTCTTCAATTTTACAGTAATTAAAACCCATAAAAACATGATGAATTTACACACAAATACACACACACAGGCACATCTCTTCACGCATTTGTGTTTTACAAAACAACACAGCTGCCATTGAAATCAAATAGAAATAGTAATAAAGAAATTATGAGATGTTTTTTAACATATCGTCATCATCATCATCTTATGATGAGCTGACATCGGGTTAAAGAACACCATTGGAAAACTAACAGGGGGTGTACTGCCAGACAGCTGTTTCGTCAGCTTGGTTTGGGACTCTTCATCAGTCCGACCTCAGGACCTTTTGGATAAAAGTTGAATTCGTAGACCAGTAAGCCAAAGTCACTGGGAACACGCCAATCCAATGGCCAGCACATGAATTACAACTTGTGTCAATTCATGACATAGCACAACCACTCCACTCCAGTACTCCGGTGTTGGTTTTCCAATAATGTTCCCTAATCGATTTCAGTTCATGATGAAATCCTGTAACCAATTAAATGTCAATAAATCTTCATACCAAGTTAAGTGTGTGTGGGGGGCGGGGGACAAATACTCGCCAGCGATGACATTGGCTAGTGATTGCTTTATAGTATCGAGAATTGGCCATTGAATTCCGACTCACTCACTCACTCACTGGCTGAATAGTGAAAAGGGTAGCATAGTAACCCTGAAGGTCATGGGTTGCATGTCTAGTACAATGGTATGTACTGATAAATAATAATAATCTACTTTATTCCAAAACAAGCAGCACTTATAATACAGAATGGAATTCTCAGCATTTGTCACAATATTGCATCTGATTTACTCAAAATATAAATAAAATTAAAAATTAAAACAAAATTATCAGAGGAATTTGTCCACATTTACGATACATAGTCAAAAATATTCGAAGCACGAGTTGAGAATATTAAATATATTAATAATAATAATAACAGTGAGTTTGTTTCAAACAGTATTGTCGATTCAGTTTGGAAATTTTAGTATGTTATAGATTATTGAATTTAATGTTCTGTTGATATAGCAGCACGGTGAGGGGAAATAGAAAATTAACACTTACAACACAGCTTAAATTATGTTCACTCTTATGAAAAAATAAACAAATAAAAACAAAAAATTGAGAGGATTATAAATATAAGAAGTACAATAACAATAAAGTTTGATGTTATAAGGGTGGAGAAAATAGTTTATTTACTAGTGCAAAGAAGGTTAGTTAGTTAGTTTATGTCTGACACTACTTTCACCACATAAAGTACGTGCCGCAAAATATGGTATAGTGGAATTTTTATACTTAGACGTACCTGAGAAGACACAAAGTTGGAGCTGCGGGTAAAATGGATGCTCACAGTCTGACAAAATTCCTTTAGCGAATTTGTTGCATGAAATCAAGTACCTATCATCAATGACGATGTCAACGATATGGCCCAATGGGATACCACTCACCCTACTGACTGACAGTCTTCAGAGTTCTACGAAGTGTATGACATAGTCTTTTTTAATCCATCCAGGAAAGAATAAGCAAGGGTGAACAGTAAAGAAGAATATGTAAGATGCACGAGGTGACAAACTGCAAGAGGAGTGGTTGGGTTATGGCCTGAGTGCCTCAACTTCTTTTAGAAATCACTAAGACATGCGAAGACCAGGATAGGTGAGAAGAAAGAATTAATCCAAGATACTTAACTTCAGACTTGGTTTCTATATCACTATCATCAATTCTGCAATGATCATAGGAATGATGAACAGCTTCACTTAACTTTATTTTACATTGGAAACTAAAATTAACATTCTGACATTTGGAAGGATTTAGTTCAAGGCCATTAGTCATAAACTAGGATGACGAAGCTGTCTAGGACTCCCATGTTTTCACCTGTTCTCCTGACTGAAGTCAGTTCGTGACTTAACTTGAAATCAGTCAAATCCTTGTAACACGAACACTTCAAAATGTTGCAACTAGGACTCCACACTACAAAGACACAGAAGGCGGGCTGGGAAACCAGAGATTTATTTTCGTATGCATAAGACAATCCTCACTAGAAATGACAACTATTTGCGTAGTTGCCGAGCTGACATCGGTTAAAGAACACCATTGGAAAACCAACAGAGTGTACTGCTAGGCATCTGCTTCGCCAGTCCAGTTTAGGACTCTTCAACAGTATGCACCCATCACAGGGGGTTCAAACCCGAAACCTCTCAGTTACAAGGTAAGCTAGCTCGCAGACCATTAAGCCACTGGAACCCGACTATTCAATGACTACTCCATAAATTTCAACTTTTGCCAATCTACGATATAGCGTAACCAATTAAATGTCTATAAATCTTCATACCAAGTTAAGTGTTGGGGGATAAATACTTGCCGGTGACATTGGATAGTGGTTGCGCTCTATATCACTAACTGGCACAAGTTATAGCTCATGAACTAGCCACTGAATTGAAGGGTCACACAGTGGCTTAATGGTCTACGCGCTCGCTTGCCTCGTAACTGCGAGGTCTTGGGTTCGAACCCCCCTGTGGTGAGTACATACTGATGAAGAGTCCCAGACTAGGCGGACGAAACAGTTGTCTGGCAGTACTCTCTAGTAGTTTTCCAATGGTGTTGTTCTCTAACTTATATTTCAGTTCAATATGTTAAAATACTGTAACCAATCAAATCCCAACATTTGAACATCATTAGTTTACCTCTTATCTCGAATACATATCGTATATGAGAGAATTAAGGTAGAATAAGGTAGACAGATATCATGCATTCCTTTTTCCCTTCAAAAAAACCCCGTGTACAGTAAGTAATATCAACATAAAAGTAAAGGTTACTCATTTTACAGGAGTGGTAGACCAACTGTCATAATTAATTTTAATTATGTCAATATTTGTTTATTTACATATACAAAATAAGTAGTAGTAGTAGTAATAGTAGATGGGATAGATTAGAAGAAAAGGAAAATGTAAACAAAATGAAAGATGAATTGAAATCTGTGTAAAAAGGAAACAAGATGTGGCAAGTTAAACACACTAGTGTGCATTTACACAAAACGCACATATATTCAAACCGATATATATGTGGATTTCCAATCATCCTACCTTATCTGTGTCAGTAAAAATTGGACTAACGAAATGTTTAAGTGTTAAAGCACAATAACTAAATAGTAGTACCAAAGAAAATCTAAGACAGGAAGTGAAGCAAATAAGAGAAGCTTTAAAACTTAATTAATGATTACCCTGGTAAATTAATCAGGAGGTATATACGAGGCTGTGAAGCTACATTGATTGAGATGGTTAGGGCATGTGTTACATATGCCCAGCCTAGCCATCGCCTTCCTCAACAACGGTCAATGTTAGGTGACTGACATAGGGTCAAGTTAGAAAAGAGGTAGTGGTGGTCAAGCCAAAACATGGCTTCGTCTGTCAATGAAATCTACGACATTTAGTTTAAGCCGGCCACGTAGGAAGGTGTAGACTTCCTGGTTGGGGTCCTCGGGACGGTAGAAACCAATGAAGGTTGGAGACAATCGGTGATATGGCTCGAAGTGTTCGTTCTCAATGGCTGGCACACATGCATCCACTCCTTGTGACTTATAATATCCAGTAAAACTATATTGTTCCTCCATATTACTATTCTTTTTACCTCATATCTCTGTTTACTGTCTGTATTTTGCATTCCCTTTTACTTTCTTCTCTTGCTTTGTGTGCTACATGGACTGGAGTGTGGCAACTCAAACTGCTGCACACCTATCTGTGCAAAGTTCTATGTTGAAACCAGTCAGTCAGTCAGTTATGTAGGAAAATGTAAGAATAAAATTAATAATAATTATAATAGTAGTGGTAATTATAATATTAATATTATTATTACTAGTGACGACATGCATGCCAAACGTGCACATAATAATGACAACACCAACAATAGGTAATATAAATCATCAGTAGTATTTCCATACAAAGAAGGAACCTCAGAAACCACCTTAGGGAGAATTCTTAACAATGGAAGAAGAAGGAATGTGGCTGGTATTCAAACTGCTCACAAACTCAATTAAAAACAATTCTTGTCGGTTAAAAGACCCTGCCAATGGAGCCAATTAGACAAAAACAATTTAGTTTATCTAATACCCTGCTGGAATGTTTGTTAGGTCAGATACCTAGATCAAAGTAGTAGAACAGGGGCAGTCAGTGAGACTAGTGGAGCATAAAAACCTAACAGCAAAATCTAGATTAGTTGACCCGAATAAAATAAGAAATCTAGAGAATAGTTCATCTATGGCACTGCCTACATGCAATTAAACACAACCATACAACAGGATAATGGGATAAGATGACAGCTCTAAAATCTAACTGATATAACAGTGGGGTAGAGGGAGAGATTGATAAGGGAAGCTTTATTTATCGAATCAATTGAGAGAGAATACGTGTAAAAGGAATGACACGTGCAATGATCCAACGCACTACTTCTTGGAGAAGGTATCACATAAACGAACTCATACACTTCATCACAACATATTTTATTACATAATTCTTATTGATTTTGACACCGTCACAGTTTTGAATAACTCTTGATGAAAGCCAACTTATCCACCTACGCAAACGCTTAACAACAACAACCGGAAAAGGCAGTTTAGAAAGACAATAAATGATAAGTAGGCAATACATTTATTTTCTTTATTTAAGTATTGCGAGAATATTCATTCACCTATAAAACACAAAATAATTGAACAAAAAATATTCTTTTGGATAATTTCCTCCTCTTCTGGCTCTACAATTACATATGCATGTTTATATACATAGAATATTCTAGAGTAGTCGTTATTAACAAAAATTGGTGTTTTTTTTAAAAATAATATCGATTTGTTAAGTAAGATCACAATGGAATCACCACAGTTCATTAAAGATGCTTAAATAATAATAATAAAGATATAGTAGAGAATAGAATATCAACTAATATTAGGAAAATTCCACAAAAATTCATGATCATTCAAACCTAGATGGCCAAGATAAGGATAATGTTTGAACTAATTTCTTTTGGATGCATAAATTAGGCTTGTTAATATGGATCCCCATAGCCTCAGCAATATTTAGAAATCGAACTCTTAAAGCGAAATTGAGGTTCGTAGGTATGTGTGTTTTTGTGTT